TTTCCTGAAATCAGCCCAAAGTGGGCTTTTCACATTTTTCGGCGTTCCGTCTTTTGGCGGCTAGATCTTCTATGTGCCAAATAGAAATAAACCGAAAATTAGTCTTCTCGACTTGTAAATAGCCAAAAGACCGCGTGGAAAGATGCGCCAAATGGGCCTTACATTTACTCAAGCCAATAGTGATCCCCGATGGCATCAAGCCATGGTAGATGAAGTCTCAGCCCTAGAGCGCAACAATACTTGGATTCTTGTGGACTTACCTCTAGGAAAGCAACCAATTGGTTCAAAATGGGTCTATAAAATCAAATACAAAGTGGATGGCTCCATCGAGAGGTTCAAAGCTTGTCTTGTGGCCAAGGGCTATACCTAGGTTGAAGGATTGGATTACCATGACACTTTTGCCTCAATAGCAAAATTAATCATAGTGTGGTGTCTCTTGGCAATGGCTGCAATAAGAAATTGAGAAATTCATCAATTTATGTTAATAATGCTTTTCTACACGGTGAAGTTCATAAAGAAGTATACATGACTATTCCTCAAGGATTTGCCCGTGAAGAAAAACACAGAGTTTGCAAATTGCAAAAATCCCTCTATGTCCTTAAACAAGCCTTCCCACATGTGGTTTGAAAAATTTACTCAAGCCCTTCTCCCTTTGGGCTTCAAGAAATCTCATAACGACTATTCTCTCTTTACATTGACATCGGGTGACTCCTTTATAGTCACACTAGTCTATGTTGATGACGTTCTCCTTGCTAGAAACAATTCTATATGCATCACAACACTCAAGAAGATCATAGATGACAAGTTTAAAATCAAGGATCTTGGCCCCCAAAATATTTTTTGGGCTCCTTGCTTTAAATGATTCTATACGCATCACAACACTCAAGAAGATCATGGATGACAAGTTTAAAATCAAAGATCTTGGCCCCCCAAAATATTTTTTGGGCCTTGAAGTCCACTATTCTATTGAAGGCATGTTTCTCAGTCAATATAAATACATAACTGATATTCTTCTTGATACTGGGATGCAAGACTGCAAACCTTCATCAACACCCATGGAGGCCAAATGCCATTTTGATGACACTTCTAGCCCCATCTTGTCCGATCCATCACCATATCGAAGACTGGGTGGGCCGCTTAGTTTACTTCACAGTCACCAGGCTCAACCTCTCATTTGCTGTAAACAGCCTCAATCAACATATGCATGAACCTCGCCAAGAGCACCTTGACGCTGCCTTACATGTTGTTCGATATCTCAAAGGCACTCCATTGCATGGCATATCTCTTCTGAGCAACAACAACCTTATTCTCAATAGATACACCGATTCTGACTGGGCTAGTTGTCCTGTCATCCGACGATCAACCACTGGCTACATCACCTTACTCGGCTCGTCTCCTCTATCTTGGAAAACCAAGAAGCAACTAATTGTTTCTCGCTCCTCGGCAGGCAATGGCCTCCGTCACAGTTGAATTAGTTTGGCTTCGACGTCTCTTAATTGATCTCACCATTCAACTTTCGTCACATATGCAATTACATTGTGACAGCAAAGCATCACTTCACATAGCAGTAATCCGGTTTTTCATGAAAGAATGAAACACATTGAAATTGAATGTCATTTTGTTCGTGAACAAGTGCAAAATTGCTCTTTACAAACTCATCACTTATCGAGCTCTTCTCAGCCAACTGATCTTCTCACAAAGGCTCGTCTCGCAGAAAAAATTCACCATCTCCTCTCCAAGTTGGGTGTTTTGATGCCTTCCGACGCTCCAACTTGAAGGGGGTGTTAGGATTAGAGTCTCAGGCCCACGTGCAGTTTAACCGCTTGGCGCACTTGTAGTCCAGTCAGATGACTTGTTACACCACAACCGAGACTATCTTTGTAATTATAAATACTAGTTGAAACTCAATAAGAAGAATATAGAAGTTCTCCGTTCTCGGCACCACCTTACATTCGGTAACAAGGCATGTAATAAATCTTGAAAAGCTTTATATAAACAATCAATAACCTCAGTAAGTGGGGGATCATGAGTAAATACAACACACTTGTCGACTATTTGCAAATTCTTCTCTAAAGCAACATGAAGGGAGCATTGGTGCTGATCTCATCCTTCAGGCCTTTGATACTGCACATACGATATGTTCCCTACTATCTATGCATCTCTACCCTGAGGTGTCCGATTTCTCTTTGCTTTGAAAGCAAGTGAAACAAGGATAACACAGGGAAGCAGTGCATAACATATTACCTCCCTACTAACATCTTTACTGTGGGGAATGTGTTACCAACAAGCAACTGTGGCAAAACAAATATCATGCAAAAGTTTCTTATCCAACCAATTGGATACGTTTTAGTTGGGGCGGTGCTCATAGGGTGTTCATGGATTTGGCCGTAAGTTGCTCTAGAGGGTTGTGTTGCAACTGAAGCTCTAACATTCACAGAAAGTCTAACCGTGGGCAGGTTTTGCTAACAAGTTTAGCCAAACCATTATAGCTCGGAACAAAATATAATATACACATATCTCCGTTTAAATGATCAAGAATATGTTCTGTTGGCCCACTCAATTTGGTGGGATTGGGATTCTTAGTATTGAACGTGGTAGTTATAGAATGTGGTGTATTAAATGAATCTCTATTATACTCAATGAATTGACGCCAAGGAAACAAAATATCTAGATATCAGCAAGAATTACTCAAAAAAAAACACCTTAACATCATCTATGAATCCCAATTGAAGAAGATGGAACTTTTCAGTTGTAAATAGTAATAGGGTTTTCTCTTACCTGGACCCACGCATCTGAAAGATAAAATTTTCAGTCGAAGAATGAAAATAGAATCTAGTGCATTGGAACTTGATCTGGTAAGGGTTCGCTTGCCCCGAAAGAGAATGGAAACCGCATGAAGATGGGTACGGGTCCTTTGTGCTGTTAAATCCCATAATCTTGGGACTTTGTCGACATGTTTGACTGAGCTTCTAGTAACATGAAGTGGAATTGTTCTTTGCCTGCGATTAGGGGTGTCAATTGGACTGGATTTGGTCCAATCCAATCCAGTCCAATGTAAGTCTATTACAAATGGATCAGGTCCAATCCAATTCATAAATATTTTGGACCAGTCCAATTCAATGCTTGGACTGTCCAATCTCTTTAAATTCGTTTTGATTTAGAAGGGTTTCAACCAAAATCTGATACATTAACACCTATATTCTTATCTTATATCTATGGACCAGATATTGGCTTAATCCAACCTAATCCAATATAAATTTATTACGGATGGACCGGGTCCATTTCAATCTAATAAATATTTTGGTCTGGATTGGTCCAATCCAATATGTCTTATTGGTCCATCCAATCCGTCTAAATTGATTTTGAACTGAATGGGGTCCAATCCAAAATTGGTCCATTGACACCCTTACTTGTGACTCTCGTTCAATGCCAATGATGATCTCGTCCTAGGGTGTGATTTTGTTCAATGTTGATGGGTTCTAATTTGAGCCTAATTGATTACCCTGATCCAATCAGTAAACAAGTTGCGGCACTTAACACAAACCGCTTTTCTTTGCGTAAGATGCCCACCACTCTCAATAGAGAGGAAAGGATGATCTGAGACAGGATTAAATAGTGAGTCGGCAATGACAAGTTTCCCCCAAAACTGCAATTGAAGAATTCTACAGCAAACAAACAGAGAGGATGGAGAACTCCATAGATGCTAGTGGCTGATATGAAAATCAATAAAAACAATTCATTGTACTTTTGCCGCCTCCATAGATGGAACATAAGTGGCTGGTCAAGCTTCCGAAGGTTCGAAGAGGATGACAAGGAAGAGAAGAGATGAGGGTGAATAATGGTTGTAGAGGACAATAGGAGAAAAGTAGAGAAGTGTGCGAGAGACATTTCCTATTAGAAAAGGGGAGAGTTGTTCCATTTTTTAAAGAGAAGCCCCAAGGCTGTAAGGAAAATGATCTAAGAAAAAACATTTCCTATTAGGAAATGAGATCTTTATCTTTATGTCGGCTATTAAGGGAACACCATTAGGATTTCACATGTCTAGTGAGATCGTTTAAAGACAGTTTCCTTTCTCCTAAGGATTATTGTGTGGTACGTGTAGGCTACATCCCTTTACGATTTTTCCTATGGTCACATGTTAAGAACAAGATTTGAATATGACTGGCGTGCTCGGGCATTTGCTCAATCGCCTTCGAGATGCCTTATCATAACTCATTGTGCTCAGAAGGAATGCTAATCTCCCATATGCAGATATCGCCGGCCTCGAGGTCTATCTGCCATTCTTTACAACGTGAATTATCATTTCATATTCATCACAAAGTGCTATTAGTGTATTGAGTTTGTCTTAGATTGACGATGTCATTTTATATTCATTGCAAGTCTTAGGCAACGCTCATTGTTCATTGCAGGTCCCATGAGGTTTTCTTGCTCATCGCAGGCCTTAAATGGCTATTTGTGCTCATTGCAGATGTATGAGCTTTCCATCATTTTAATAGTGTTTTTGTACCATTGCAGGAGTATCCTGATCGGGATTCCTCCATATGGCTTTTCCTTTGACGTCTTCATCGTAATCCCAATGATGGTAAACTACAAGTATTTACCCCATGCATGTAAGATACTAAAATATTATCAAATAATTTCCAGGCGTTGGACCCAAGGCTTGTTTGTCCTGGGCACAGACTGCATTCTGTGCTGACTTGATATTGGTCCCGGCCAAGCTGGGTTTGACAGAAATGCGACCGCCCAAGCCGGAAAATTAAGTGGTTAGGCCAGGCTGGATGGGTATGGTGAGTTTCTAACAAAACTCTTATTTATTTATTTATTTTTTGATTTGATAATTTTTCAATAGAAGTACCACATTATTTATTATCATTGAAGGGATATCCTTCCAAGAATTATCCTGCATGTGAAGTTCGCCGCTTATGACAATTAGCCTATTCTCCTTGTTTTCCTTCTTTACTTTTTATGCAACCAAATTAAAGGGAGAATTTATAAACCACTTTCCAACTGAAAACTGTGCAACTTTTCTGTGGTATTACCAGAAAACAAGCACAAATATCTATAAATGTATGTTTTTGTATTAGAATTACAAGCCTGTTACAACACAAAAATTGGGGCGGAGGTAAAAAGATGAGAACACCTTCGTATTCTAGGGAGGCCCATTGGATCTCCAATCGGAAGTTGTTTGCATTAGGATACATTTAATTCCATCTGTGAGACTCACTTGATGATGGCAGGTTTGTTTGAATGTACTTTGGATCTGGTCACTCTCTTTTGCTTGCTGGTTAGTGCATACATCTTCACGGCAAATAACTCTTCAGGAAATCCCTTTTGATCCTGAAAAACAAAATTAATATTAAAAGAAGCAAAGACAACAAAATTACAAAACAGAGGTTCAGATGGCAAAACTACTGCAGAAACAGCAGCTAGAGTTTTCAGAGGGAAAAGTTGTGGGTCATAGAATGTGGTTCATTGGGGGTAGGGGTGTCAATGGGCCGGTTTTGGGTTGGACCCCATCCAAATCAAAATCAATATGGACGGATTGGATGGACTAACAAGACATACTGAATTGGACCACTTCAGACTTGATGGTCCAAAGTGTTTATTGGATTGGATTGGACTTGGTCCACCTGTGATGGATTTATATTGGAATTTGGATTGGGTCGGATAGAACCATTATTCGGTCCATTGATAGAAAATAAGAATGTGTCAATGGACCAGGTTAGGGTTGGAACCAATCTAAATTAAAACCAATCCGAACAGATTGGATGGTCCAGACATTGAATTGGACTCATATTGGACTGGATTGTCCAATTGACACCCCTAATTGGAGGAAGGAGTATCTTAATTTTACTAAATGGGTATTGAAGAAATAGTTGGTTAGCCACGAGTGTGGGGTTCCATACCCACACTCAGGCTCTAGTGTGTGTGGTTCCGTACCCACACCTAGTTGTTTCTAATTTCTTTTATTAGTAGTTTCTAATTTCTTTTTAGTAGTTCTAATTTCTGTTAAGTTGGGCCAGCTGGCCTTATTGTTTCTAATTTTTGTTTATTTCCTATTCTTGTAAGGATCCTAAAAGCTATAAATAAAGGAGTGTATCGGGGAGCAGATCATTCACCATTGAACCCCTTCTTTCTTTTCTCTTCTCTCTCTCTCTCTCTCTCTCTTTTCTTCTCTTCAAACCTGTAATACAGTAAACAATTCTTCTTCTACTTTGAAGTTGGTATCGGAGCCTTAGATCTAGGGTTTCTCATGTGGATTTAATTCAGCCAATCACATGAGAATTGTTTAGGGCTGAAAGTTCAGAAAGATCCTTATTTCGGTTGATTCTTGGAGGTTGCAAGAAGGCTTTAGCAGCTGTCCTAAGATTGAAGAGAGCTTCTTGTAATTAGGAAGAATCAAGTAGGAATTGAGTGATCAAGATCAATTCTTGATCAAGATTGGAGGTGCCAATCAGTTTTTTTTCTTGGCTCTTTGATCAAGATTTAGGATGCTAACAGTAATCGATTGATCAAGTTTGAAGTCTGAAAGTAGCAATCAGTTTTCTTGGCTTTTTTCCTCATAAAGTAAGTACATTTTCCTGAGATTGATACTCAAAAGGACTTTGTTATTCATTCAAAGAGGTACAGATAGAAAATCTCAGGACTGATATCAATCCCAGGATAGTAGTTGACTGTTATCTAACTGCAAAATCATTGTCCTAGGTCGGCTGTTATCAGCCTTGAAATACAGTTTTTTCTTGTCACAGTAGTTTAAAGCCTCTTCTTAACTTAGAATGGAGTACAAGAACCAAGGGGAATGTGCTTTTGGGACTGGTGGTTCAAGTAACATGACTGAAAACACCTTTCAGCTTACAACTGTTAAGTTTGATGGATCAAACTACTTGGAATGGGCCCGATCAGCCACGATGGCTATTGGGGGTAGAGGAAAATTGAACTTCTTGCTAGGGGATGTGAAGGAACCCTCCAAGGAGGACCCTACTTATGCTAAGTGGGTCCAAGAAAATTTTTTGGTGATGACATGACTGTGCAACTCTATGCAGCCACACATCAGCCAAAACTATTTGTGGACCAAAACAGCTAAAGAAATATGGGATGTGATGAAGGAAACTTACTCTCAGCCTCTTAATGTTGCTAGGGCTTATGAGCTAAAATGTGAGGTTAAAAATCTAAGGCAAGAAGAGAAGCAGGTCTCTGTTTACTTTTCAACCTTAAAATCCCTGTGGTATGAAATTAACCATCTTGAAACAATTGAGTGGGAGATCAGAAAGATGCACAAACATATAAAAAACAGGTTGAAACTAATAGAGTTTTTGAGTTCCTAGCTAGTCTGAACTCTGAATGTGACATTGTGAGACAACAGTTGTTGACAAGAGATAGTGTGACTTTATCACAAGCCTATTCCCTAGTGCATAGTGAAGAAACCAGGAGAAAGGTTATGTTGCAGCAACAACCCTCCAAATCAGCCTTGGTAGCAGTTAGCACTTAGTATGTGAACACTGCAAGAAACCTAAACATACTAAGGACACCTATTGGAAGTTGCACCCTCATCTAGTTCCAGCAAAGCTCAAAAATAAGAAAGGGAATGCTAATATGACTGTCAACACTAATTATTAAATAAATATATATATATATATGGCTGTCAACACTGATAGTACAACTTCATCAGGCACAAGAGGCACTCCTCTAGATACCCTAGCTGCAGTCCGAGCTGCTCTGACTCAATAAGAAAATGAATTTAACAATTCAACTCAACCTACATCAGCTCAACAGCCTACTTCAGCCATTGCTCATAGTACTAGAGCTACTGCTTGTCATGCTTCTGTCCTAGGTAATACTAGACCTTTCTGGGTAATAGATTTAGGTGCTTCAGATCATATGACTTGCATATCTACTCTATTTAGCACCTATTGTTTATCCTTTGGGAGAGACAAAGTTTCTATTGTTGATGGCTCTCTAGTACCAAATTCTGGCAAGGGAGACATCAGTGAAGGGGATGAGAGATCCATCCCATGGACGCCCAAGGATTGCGGAATAAGGGGCGAATTTCAAAAATTTTTCTCTCCCTTCAACTGGGAATCACATTCCCTATTTAGAAAATCATATTTTTAAGGATCATTCTTGAACCTTAAACTGAACCAGATCTGAACC